GACTCCTGTCATTCTGTGGAGGATCTTTCAAGATGGTGCGGTTAGTTGTTGGCCAATCAGGAAGGGCCGCTCCTTTGTCTCCACAGAGATCCGATTGGAGCCATGAGTACTCACGCCCACATTCAACACAATAGACAGCAGCCATACACACGCGCACACACACACACATACACACACGAGAACTACAGCCAACACGGTACAAAATACGGCCAGGTATTTTTGCTTGGCAGTAACTCTACAAATATGATATATTGTCTATCCCTCCATCCATTTTATGACCTGCGCTTATCTTCACAAGGGTTGCGGGCGTGCTGGAGCCTATCTCAGCTGTCATCTGGCAGTAGGCAGGGGACAACTGAACTGGTTGCCAGCCAATCGCAGGGCACACACAGACAAACAACCATCCGTGCTCACACTCACACTTAGGGACAATTTAGAGTGTTCCATCTACCTGCCATGCATGTTTTTGGAACGTGGGAGGAAACCAGATTTCCCGGAGAAAACCCACGCAGGAGCAGGGAGAACAACAAACTCCACCCAGCAAAGCCGGAGCTGGAATTGAACCCGGTACCTCTGCACTGTGAGGTCGACGTGCTATATATATATATATATATATATATATATATTGATAGCTGGATCGATAGATTTTCACTTAGTAGTTAACTCCAAGTTAGCTTGACTTGAGTGAACAGGCTAAGGCTTTTCTTTTCCTGTTGCTCCAATGATCACATTGCCTACTTGACATGACGATCAGGTGCCCTCCTGAGAATGGAGCCAAATGACGAAAACTCGCCGTGCTTACCGACATTTTCACAATAAAAAGCGTTCCCTTCACCCATTGGCTCGCCGTGATGTCACTCATGCTGAACAACTTTTAAAAAGGAACTTTTTTTTTGTTCCCCCCTCTCACTCTTCCAATTGATGTATAGCCTGTATTTAGTCCAATTGGAGCCTTTGCGATTGTAAAATTGCTTTTGGCTTGACCGCGATGTCCAGCCCGACTTTTGATGCGCCGCCCCTCCCCCTCCCCGTCGCCGGCGCCCTTACCTGGCCGTCTCCTTCCACTCCGTCTCCTGGCCGTCCACCGACAGCAGCTCGTCCAGCTCGGTGAAGAGCTGCGGGGGCGGCGGGCCGTCGTCGTCCTCCCCGAGGATGAAGCGGATCCTCTCGGCGGCCGGCGACACTGCGGAGACGGGGAAGATGCTGCGCGTCAGAGGGCGGCGGGGGGCCTCCGGATCGGCCCCGGGGGGAGGTGGCGGCGTCGGTGCGACGGCCTCGCCCTTCTCCCCCGCGTCCTCCCGGTTGTTATTATTGTGGGACATTTTGGGCCCCCCCTTGTCTCCTGCGGGTGCTTTGATTCTTCAGGTGCGACTCACAAGCGGAGCCCTCATGTGGAAGCGACGGAGCCTCTCAGACGCTTTGCGAAGCAGGTAGGAGGAGGGAGCCGGGCCGTTTTGGTGGCGGCGTACCCCCCTCGCCGTTGGCCATTGGCTTGGCCGGCTGCCCCCGGGAGCCCCTCGGTGACAATTAGGAAAGCGGCCCATTCTCCGGGCCCGGCTCGCTTTGGCTTCCTCTCCTCCTCCTCCTCCTCCCGCCTCGCTCTCATTTGAATACTGAGCAAAGGCACGAGGTGAAAACTCAAAGGGCGTCGGATGCAAATCATCGTTTTCGGGAAATCCACCGGCAGCGGTAAACCTTCGCATGAGCGTCGCAAGAAAGTTCGACTGACACTTTGAGCCGATGAAACCTCCTGTTTAGCTCTCACATGGCGGCATAGGTGGAAGCCCCTTGGCGGGACGTCGAGTGTTTGGAAAGTCGCTCAGCACGGCCACATTTCTGCTTTTCAAAGCTGATAAAATGTCACTTTTGGCAGATCTCAAAAGTCAAAGTTAAAACTGCGTTGCTCAAGACCGCCAACAAACACAAACTGCATTTGCGACGCTCTGATTTTCTCTGTTTTGCTATTTTGTTTTCTTCCTGAGAGATTTGGATCCAAAGTGGACCGCAGCACCTCAGCACTGATTCCTGATGTTTCGCAACTGCGTACGTCACGTTAGCCGAGCGGTTAGCATGCCCCCCCACCCCCCGTTATCTTTTCGTGTCCATCTCACCCCCCTCGCGCGACATAACGGTGTAGCTCATTTGCTGGCTTGGAGGAGGACGAAAGAAGAGCCGTGCTAGGACGGTGCTCGGCCAATTGCAGCAGCTTGTGCAACGCAAGGTGGTTCAGCGACGACGGGAACGGACGGCATCAGGCGCTCGCTGCGTCTCGTGGCCGCCGTCCCCGAACCCGCCGGCAGGGAAGGATTCCGTCAAGGTGAACAAAGAGTCGCGTCGGGCCTTACTGGCCTCCTGTGGGACTCGGGAGGGGGCTGGCAGATCACCGGCGGGCCGAGCGGAATGCAGCGTTGGCGGTCGCGGGGCCAAAAACCCGGGCATGGAAGGAGTTCGTTCGGCCAGGCAAATCATCAAGTGCTGTATATTAAAAAAACCAAACAAAAACAGGCCATTTTCTCTGCTCTCACATTGTGAGCGTGTCCATCGAATGCACTGAAACGGCGCCCTGCTCCACTGTCAGTTCTCAAACAGCACTACTGCGACCCGGAATTTCGTGGAGCAATTTTTTTCTCCTGCCTACCAAATCCTCAGGGGCGGGAACACATCCCACCAGGCGGTCGCAGGGCTTTTCCGACGGGGTGCTCTAAAGCGGCCACGCCGGCCCTAAGCGGCAAGCGGGCTGCCACGTCGGAATTTGAAAGCCTGTTTTTCAGCCCGCTCTTGCGCCTTCTCGCTCTGAGGCGCGTGCACGCGTTCACGGCCAACGACGACATGGAGATGCTCGAAAGCAGCCAGAGCGGCCGGAAGCCCAGCTCCGCACGGTCCACCATTACCCACACCGTCCGCGCGGTCGTCACGGTTCCCGTGTCCACCTTGTCCATATGCTAGCTGCCTCGTTGGACTTAAAGACACGATTCCCCTCTTTTTCTTGCACTCCTATTTTTCTCCACGTGACGTGCACGACCGTATAAAGTGGCCACACCAGCAAAGTATCAGAAAGGAAGATGCATTTTTGCGACGTAGGCATAGCTAGCAAAGCTAGCTAAGTGAACATCGCAAGTTCTTATGCCTTGGGGGGGGGGCGACTAACTGGTACTGTAATGTTTGATTCGACGGGCTCGGGTCTGATTCCAAATTCAGCGGAAGCCGTCCTCGGCACCCATGAGAAAGGGAGGCAGCCAAGAGCCACGGTGTTACTGTCCCAATCCAGCAGTTGCTAAGAGCGGGTGGGGGGGTCTGAGGAGGGTGAGATCCAGGGCAGCGTGAAAGCAAAGAGCGGTGAGAGGCGGAGGGGATAGAAATGAAAATCCCACGGCTCAAACGCAGTTTCAAAGGCGTGTGTGCGCGCTCTCGCCCAGAGCCACCGAGAGCACACAAAGAGCACTTTGTCCCTGGCAGCGAGGCATCATGGGATAGGAGACGCGGGGGAGAATGGCCCCGGCCCCGCCGATGCCAAAAGCTCCCGTTTGCTCTTGACGTGCGTATCCGACACCGAGGGCCGGCCCGGGCCGCGCCGGCTGTTGGCCAACGGGGAAAAATTCACAGCGTGCGCTCGGATGGCCGTGCCGTTTGTTCTTCGCGAGCACCTGGCAAATGCTTTCCAGCCACGACCATTCATCCGATCGCTATTCAATTACAAAAAAAAAGTCAAATCCGACGCTTCTCTGGGATCATCTTTCCACGGGCGCAAATTTGACTGCAGTTGGATGTCACACATCGAAACAGGCCGAGAGTCATTCAGTTGGGGGGGACACCATATCTGATGCTTTCCAATGGACAGACCATCCACAAATATTTCATTTGAATCGATTAGATCAGAATTCATTTATAAGAAAAAAAAAAGGCCGCATTTTACCAGAGTAAACTTCAGCTTACAAGAACATTTTGCTCACGTAATGGCAATCAAACAACTCGAGATTTTAGCAGAATAAAGTCGACGCAGAGCAGAGCGAGCAAAATGTTGACAGGAAGAAGAAACAAACAAGTCCAAGGAGCCTAATTGCAAGTTCGATCACTATCCGATGAGACCTTTGCTTTCATTTTTTTATTTGATTTTTTTTTTTTCATGTCCTCTCTTGTGACAGCGTTGAGACTCACTGTTGGTCTTTCCCCTAAGTCAATTGTTTGCGGGTAAAACCGCTTTGGCCTGGACAATCAAATGCCAAGCGGAAAGGACGCGTGGCAACCTTTGCCTTGATCTCATCAACTTTGGAAGCCGTCGTCATCCGACAACAAATAATCGCAGACTGGCTGGCTGCAGAAGAGTGCCTGAAAGTTGCAACACCGCCAGACAGCGACAAGTAAAAAAAAAAAATAAATACATATTACATATCGTATTTTTTTTAGGCTGGGGAGAATAATCCTTGTATGAAGGGAAAACAGACAATATCAACAATTTCAAAGTTTTTTTTTTTTTTTTTTTAAAGGGCAAAACTATCAAGCTCCCAATCAATGCATTTCTTGCTCAGTCTGGATGCCCTTAAAATAAGGGCGCTAAATGATAGGAGGTGACCCGCACAACCAGTACGACCAGTACGACCAGCGCGCGGCGCAGCTCGACGTTTGTTGACTGCTAACAAGACGTCGTGACTTTCCGCGCGCATCTTTCCTCGTCTTGTTGGCGGAAAAACAAAAAGCAACGTCACCACCATCATCTTATTCTTCGAAAGAGGAACACGCACGTTACATCGGAAAATTGCTTTATGACGTACGCAGAGAGCACGCGCACACACTATACAGGATATTCATCGCGCGATCAATTGATCGATCGCTAAAGAGAGCAAGCTACGGTGGATAGTTAGCTAGCTAGCTACATAGATAGAGCGCGAGAGAGCGGCATAGACAAAAGATTGTACGAGAGAAAAACAAACTTGATCAGAGAAGCATCACACCAGTGCGGCATAGACGATAAAAGATTGTACGAGAGAAAAACAAACTTTATCAGAGAAGCATGACACCAGTAATGCATCCATTTATGAGCATCAAATAGTCATGCTTAGAGAATGCGTTTGCATTTTGGGGGAAATAGGAGAAAGTCATTTCATCTCATCAAAGGAATGTAATCTGAAAAGAATAGAGTTGTTGAAATTCCACAAGAATAAATGAATAATATTGTCGGGCTCATAGCAAAAGCGACTGAGGAATTGCAACTTCCTGTTAGCAAGTCAGTTCCAAAAAATGTTCTCTTTTTTTCTGGTTTTCTAAAAAGATGGAAATACTGTATGACTTCGGGCAACGACGCTATTCGACTCACGACGCGGTCATGTTCGCGCACCGCACGTAGGCTCATTTGACGTCGGTGCTGTTGTTTTGCTTTTTGTTTTTTGTCATGACTGGCTTTTCTGGACACAAATCAGTCCCGAAGAAATCACCGCACCAAAGTCAGCGTCAGCAAACAGATGGCTGGCCTGTAATCTATTCTGTGATTGGATTTCTGTCCTGAAGAAAATCCCTCAACACACGCACGCGCACACTCAGGCGCACGAAGATGTAGACATTCAAGTCAAGTCCGGTCGTTGTTACGGCACGCCGCGCAATCAGACACCGCGCGCTACGACAAAGCCATCGCAAAAGCCCATCGAAAGCTCAGGCTGAAAATTGGCCCGATAGCATCTTAGCGTTTGAGCTCGGCGGCATCGGCGAATCCGTTTTCCAGGTGTACGGCCGAGTTTGGAAAATCATCACGACCGAGCCGCGGTGTTGCGCTTTGGCTTTGTGTCGGG